TTGACCGGTCATACCAACCGACGGCGAATGAACATTTCTCATTAGCAATGATGGCTCTACTACAAGAATGGAAACCTAGTGGATGCGCTGAAGCGCGAAATACTTAACGCGAGCGATCCAAGAGAAGTGAAAGCCTTCCAAGTGGCACATCACACTCATAAGTACACGTTACCTGGGGGTGGGAATGCTAGAAGCATAGATAGATGGTACGTCCTCGACGAACACGACACCTGGATTCAACAAATATTCAGAGTGATTTCAAGCCCAAGATTGGATCACGACGGAGTCTCACTGAAGTTAGCCCCAGGAGGTCGGACAATCCAAGTGTAAAAGCGACCGACGTGCTACCCGGTTCCCGATTACGTGCTGGAGTGTGCCCAATTCATGGAAGCAGTTTTTTTCGATGATGTTGAGGCTCAGACCAGGTTCAGCCCTGACACGGTCAATCTTTCACGTTTGAAAGGGATGGCCCACTGGTGGGATCATGCGAAACGAGCATTAATCAGAGGGTACAAGAAGTGCAAGCGCACATATGCAGCAAAAATGCGGCCGTATATTGACAACGATTGCGACGTCTTTACTCTAGGCTTGATACAGCAACGCGGTTGCCCTCCAACAACGCTGAGTGCCAAGACTCAGATGGTACGCAAGCAGGCTGCCTACGCGAAGAAATCAGAGGCTGTCAAGACAAATGGAGAGAAGCAAAAGCACGACGTTTGAGACGAAAGCACGCACTTTTTCCTCAAAAATCGACAGCGGACTTCTACAAGCGCATTGCATACAAGTATGGCGACAATGTGGTATATAACCTCGACAATGCAAGACATCATGCTTCCCCGACGGAGCAAGCGGATGCTATGGCATTCGGATGGTCTTCCATCATGCAACAACAGCATGCAGAATCCCAACTGGTTGACGGTTACATCGCCAGCATCCGACCATTAAGAAACATCGCTGATCTGGAAGAGCTTGACGCCCAAGTTTCCTTGGACGAAGTCCGAGCGGCTATCAAACGGTGCAAACGCGGAAAGTCCTGCGGCCCGGATGGTCTAGGTAACACGTGGTATCAAGACCACTGCGACCGCATTGCTCCAATTCTCGTGAAGCTAATCAACGACTGGTTACAGGCTGGTGTTGTCCCGGCGAGGCGAATATTCAGTGCATTAAGAAATCGAAAACAGCGACTCACCCGCTGAACCATCGGCCAAATGCCTTGCTAAACTCAGATTACAAGAACTACACAAGGATTTTCGCATCGAGACTTCAGCGCTTTCTGCCGAAACTCATTCACAAGAGGCAATTCGGCTTTGTACCGGGACGTCAGCTCAGCACTGCAGTGGACATGATCGCAGCGCTACGGGAACATGGAACCTGCACGGGAATGTCCAGCGGACCAATCGCCCTATTACTCGCCAAAGCCTCCGACTCCCTGAACAGAGATTACACCATCGCCACTCTTCATCGGTACGGATTCTCTCAGCGATTCTGCGTGATGATAGAAAGCATTCACCACGGAACCACGGGCTTCTTCTTGGTCAACGGATCCCGCTCCTTAAAGCTAACGCTAAGCAGCGGGATACGACAAGGCTGTCCATTGGCACCGCTGCTATTCGTCGTAGCACTGGACGTATTGTACCGAGTCATCGATGAAGAGCCGGATCTACGAGGTATCGCACTTCAAACACACAACGAAGGAACTGAGGTCCGTATTTGTGGTTTCGTCGATGATACAGCATTGTACCTCGACGACAACAGGAACACGCCGGCAGTTTTGAAGATTTTGGAACGATTTGCCATGGTTTCGGGTCTACGGATGAATCTCACAAAGTCAATAGTCATCTCTTTGGGAGGGTGCGAACAAGAGCCACCTGAGAGTTCCAACAGAATCCCAGTTCTAGCTAAGGGAGACTATTGCATGTATCTCGGCGTACAAGTGGGCATGGATGATCACACCCAAGCAAACTCGAACTCATGCAGAAACGCTCTAACGACAAGACACGTGCTGGTGCAAAACAAAACTCACACGGTTATTCAACGAGCTGAGATCGCGCGAGCTATAGTCGTACCAAATGTCTTGTTCTGAGCTCGATACGCATGTCCGACAAAGGAGCAACTCGACCCAATCCAGCAGCTAACCAAGAAATTCGTCTGGGGTGGCACAGACAAAGAGAAGAAGAAGCCGTGGGTAAATGAGCATCAAGCAGAACTTCCAGTCTCTCAAGGAGGAATCGGCTATCCAAACTTGACAGCGGAACTTCTCACATCCAGTGCAACAGCAGTAGCGGCTTGGGCAACGAATGACTCTCGTGACGAGCGCCTTCTTGGGGACCTATTCTCGACAAACAGAAAATCGGCTTCGAAGTACATCACTCCAACGGATGGAAAGAGCACAGAGAGGCTATTGTCAAACCTATGAAAAACAGGACGGACGGTGCTAGCCACCCTACCTGCGTTGTGCACCCCTGTAGCTTCCCCAGCAGAGATCACAACAACCAAGGCGCTCCTGGTGCGTGTCATAGGGAAAGCCGAGTGGACAGACGGTGAGTATGAAATCGCTGTGGCTAAAGCGGATCTCATTTCTCTGAACGGCAGCATCAAAACTCGCGGAGATTCACGTGGATTCTTCTGCCACGAATGGTTACCGCTGTGTGACATCAAGGCAACAGGATGGCTCTTCGACAGCAAGGGACGTCATTACGACCTTAATCGATCCAAGTCGAAGTAACAGCTCAAGAGCTACGCGATCTAGTGCAATGGCGATGGGTGAAACACGGCTGTGTCAGATTCAGATTTCCATCGACAAGCACCGCTGTCACGACTCCAACTCTCCAATCCTTTAAGCATCTCTGTTCGATTCTCTTAATCAACTTTCCAGAACTGCTACATCGACCGAGGGTTGCTGTTGCGCTTCGACCGACAGATCCAGAGGTGGAAAAATACCATGACTGGTTCCTGGACAACGACAACACGATACGCCATCAGGATACGGCCATCACAACCAGCATTCACCTCTTCAAGAGACCACAGGACGCTGACGAAGTAGCGACACGAGATCTTGATGGCACCCCTGTCTCCTTCTATCCACACCCGCGACTGTCTCGAATAGTCAGCTTGAGATGCGGACGAACGAGTTGGAA